TATTTCGAGATTTCGTGTGCGTGTGTGTGTGTGTGTTATCAACGTGTGTACGTGGCTCGGTGGTAATCTGCATTGACACAGTGCGAGGTTCGACAAAAATTCTCGACGATGAGAATGGAGAACGATTGACTCTCATCACATTCCTTTGTTGTGGTCCTCAGCTTTACGGATTGTACAAACCGACGCGAGAGAAATGACAAATATAACGTATATATAAGTTCCGTATATATATACGTGACGAGAATGATCGTATCCAACCGTGAATCGCTCAACTTTCTTTTCAACAATCAATGGGACTCTGTCACGAAGGATTCTTAATTTTAACAAAATTTCCTCTTTGCGCATCGAAAGGAAGTATTTATAAGCAACCGCGGGGCGATCTGCGTATCTCGTCGGTGTGTACGAACCTTAATTCGAGATCCGACGGTGAGGAAAAGTGCGTGGAAGAAAGACGCTGGTCGTTCGAGAGGATGCGAGAGACAGAGAAATCGTGTGTAGTAAAATATACATACATACACACACACACACACATATATATATATATATATGTTCCTGTGTGTACAAATGTACGAGTACGGGTTGTTTACTCCCTCGAAAATGTAGCAAGGGCGATGAGAGACTGGCTGGTCTTCGTTGTTCCTCCCTCGCGTGGCTGCTGTCGTCGTGAGAGAACGAACACTCGGAGGTTACCCGGGGTAGAGGAGGTGCTGAGATCAATTAACCGGCTGCTGAGAGAGCTCCGAGCTCACTCCGCTCGCTTCTTTCTCTGCTGCTCGACGGCCGCGAAATCCTTCTCCAGCGAAAAAGTACTCGCCGATGCGAAAGGGCGATCGACGACGAGAGGTGACGAGATGACGGTTGAAGGGAGCAGCCGTTGAGTCAACGAGAGAATCGACTGGTCTGCGACTTCGATCCGCTTTTCCATTTTCTCTCTTTTCGCTCTTCCATCGCTCGACGCGCGCACACATGGTTGTTTCCTTCTCGTCTGTTGTCTTTTCGATCGAGCCGCGTTAGTTCAAAACAGCGCGGAGACTAGACTGCTCGGGGGGACACTCTCTTCTCAAAGATGCCTCGTTTTCATTCACTCTCTCTCTCTCGAGATTCTTTGTACGCGCGAGAAGAGGATCGGGGAGACGCGAGACTAGACTAGAGTCGAGCCGACCGACGCGCGTGGACGAGCTCGCGTCTCCCGAAGGATGGACTCTCCTCCCCCACCCCTCTGTGTGAGCAGGAAGTCGCTCCAAGCTGCTCGGATCGTCGACGGTGCTCCATTTTCACTTTTTTTTCTTTTCTTTTTTCGTACAGGACGAGAGCGAGAGAAAGAGACAGAAAGGAGAGAGAGAGAGAGAGAGAGAGAGAGAGAGAGAGAGAGAGAAGGAAGGAGACAGCGAGGATCGACTCGAATCTTCTCGAAGATTCTCGTGCTCGAAATTTCTCGATGCACCGAGAAGGGAAGGGAAAAATAGAAAGGGACGAGAGAGAGAAAGAGAGAGAGAGAGAGAGAGAGAGAGGACGCAAGAAGAAAAGGGACGCACGCACGTTTGGAGTTCACAAAAGGTTGAGGAGCGCGCGGACGTACCCGGTCCGACGCGACACAATCATCACGCGGGATATCACATATCACGAGATGCACGTGCGCTTATATATAGTAGATCATTTCAGAAGCGTAGACACGAGCGCGACGGCGAGCCCGGCGATTCAGCTGGAGACGTACGCGGCAATCTGCTCGCTGAATTGCGTGTGCTCCAGCAACAGAGAGTCTTTGCAGGTTTCGAATTGTTGCTGTTGTTGCTGCTGGGATGGCGACGGCATAATAGTTGGCGCTTGCTGGTGTTGCTGCGAATGATGATGCTGATGTTGTTGCTGCTGCTGTTGCTGATGATGATGCTGCTGATGCTGATGCTGCTGCTGCTGCTGGGAGATCTCTTCCGCGTTCTCGGCCTCGGTACGCTCGTACAGGACGCAAATGGAACCATTCTCGCCGATTCTGTACGACACTTCCGACGGGTCGATCCACATGGTAAGCTCGCTGGGGAACAGGCTGTGCAGTACCGTCGGCAACAGGCCGACGTTCGCACCAGCCTGCGCGATTACCGGATCCATTTTACCGTTGATGCGTATGCAACGATAGCCGGAGCCGCGATTTGGCCGATCTGGAAACCAGTGATCCCGATAACGGTGGCGCAACACCTCCGTCAACGATGATTTGAACATCTCCAGTTGCCGTTCTGACAGCTGACCCGCCTGCAGGCGCAGCAGGTGCACCAAAAAATCCGCCGCCGACACGATTTCCAGTCTCATGGTCGGTGGTGACCCAGGGCGAAGGCGTCGATGACAATAATCCGATAGAAAATTCTCTCTCTCTCTCTCTCTCTCTCTCGCAATCTCTTCTGTATCGCGGTGGGATGAAAGTCACGTCGATGACGCACTCGATCTTGCTCAAATACACGGGCACTGTTTATCTCTCTCTCTCTCTCTCTCTTGCCCTCTCCGTCTCGCCGACTCTCGCGATCCACGGTTCCGGAGGCCAAAAAAAAAGCACTCGACGCCGTTTTACACCGGTCGAAGGCGATGAGTATCGGAGATACGCGCGTGTCACGGGTCACGGCGTGGCGATGAGTAAGCTCGACGGCGTTGATGCCGAAAGAAGCGCACAGTACCAGTCACCACAAAATGGCGTCGTCGCCACGTCGCTGCGTAGCACTCTACAGCGCTCGTCGTACGTCTTCGACCCTCCAGCGCGATGGGCTAACCGCCGGAGCGTCCCTCGAGGATCCTCACCGATGAGGATGCGATCCGGTGCACGGTAACGGATGTAATAGATGTACGTGGGGGATCGATTTCGGATCGTCGTCGGGCGAGCGTCTACGCGTCGTTTCTTAACGCTCGCCTCGTTGCCTGCCAATTCGCCTCGTCGTCGACTCGTCCTCGCGGATGAAAGGCGCGTTTTCCGTTTCACGCTTCGTTTCACCGGATCGATTCCGACAATTCAGCCGTTCCGGGATCGTCGCGTCGGAGCTGCTGGAGCTGATCTCTGAAGCCGGGATTCTCTCTCTCTCTCTCTCTCTCTCGCTCTCTCTTCCGTGGCCGTCGAGTCCCGACAGACTGGCTCAGGCTGATAAAACTTGATCGCGACGTCCGAACCGATGGATCAGCTCTCTTTATCTTTCTCCCTCTCGCGCTCTCGATCCAAACTCGCGGAGGTTCCGCGTTCATCGACTGTCGACGACTTTCTAATGGCACAGCTCACGAGCACAAATGGGGTAGCCTCGTCTCTTTGTTCGAGTGACGCCGAATGGGGGTTACGTATCGCGACATCGGCCAATCCTGCGTCGACGGCGCCCACCGCGACGCACCGTCACGTGACCCAGCGCGTTGCGCATGGTAGTTGCTGCAGCCGCGTCGCCACTCGTCCCGAGTCCCGAATACGCGGACCAACGCGGACCCTGCCTGCTTGTCTGCCTGTCTGCTTGCGCG